AATTGGACTTCCAATAAACCATATGACGTTTCTTTCTAAAGAACTCTCTAAACATGATTTAAAGTAGTTCATATTCATTTCTATACCACTAGATGGACTGTAACGGGAAAAGAATTACCATACTGAGCTGTTTGTGTAAGTGTATGTAAACATGAATATCCCCAGCTGCTCTGTGTAGTCTATAGAGGGTATGTGTTAAATGTTGTAACCACTAATTAGGTGTTATCTCAAAGCTTTTAGACAGAGAGCAAGATCGTTCCACCCACCACCTGACATCGCTCAAGCTGATATGAAGTGCATCTTTTGCACTCTTCCAGAAACACACACAATTATTCCAGTCGCACACTCCTCTTCTGCCTGTCACATACAACACATTCCTGACTAATTATCGTATACAAGTCTAATCTCCCAGCTATTAGGCCTTAATGTTAACATGGATTTGGTGAGCTGACAAGTGCTGAGAAAACCTTTTGTCAACATTTCATGCTGTCAGTTTGATTTGGCCTCTTGGGCCCGTCTAAAGCAGACTTTGTCTTTACAAAATAAATTGCCATGCATTGTGCCAGTTTGAACAGTGCAACCTGACAAAATGACAGGAGTAACGTTTAGATTTGGGATTTGAAAGAAGCGTCACAGATGTCTCCTACAAATTCAAGGCCCACATTTGTAGAACAATAAAGTTTCATTAATTCGTTGGTTCAAAGTGCAGAGAGGTTCAGATCAGAAAGATAATCTAGGTGCACGAATGTAAAAGCCAGAGTTAGGATGCGTAATGCATGAGAATGACAGCAATACAACACTTCTCACACCTTCTGTAAATACTATATCTCTTACACAAGACGTGTTGCCTTTGATAAGATGACATTCATCAATTCCTTTCCTTTTTTTCAGACTTCATATCTAAAAAAAAAAAAAAGCCACACAGCGTGGCACTGCCACGTTGTGACACAGTCAAGCACATTGTCATGAGGAAAAGCAATTTCCACACCATTATCCACAGGTTTCAGTGGTTTCCGCTGAAGTTAATTGCTTTTTGTTCTTTCAAAATATAGCTATTTGGTTTTGGGAAACGGAATAACTTGAGTGATTACTGTGGTGGATGGTGAATGAGAGGACATGTTATAGTAATAAGTTTATTGTTTTTGCATACTGCATTGAATATGTACATAATATATATAGGCAGCCCGAGTATAATTCAATTAATATGATCCAATATGAACTAATAATTAATATGATCATACAAATAACTCATATGAAGAATGTTTATTTAGCAGTTTTGTTCAAATCAACTTTTTAAAAAATGGCCTAATATTTTCTAGAGCAGAGAAATAATTGACTTTCACATACAATTAACATTACCTGATAGAATTTTTTTTTTAAATTACGTTCATTCAAAAATATTTCCCTTGCTAACCATTGTCCTTCATTTAGCAGTGTATGGCAAAGAGTGAGTTCAGCTAAAAATGAAAAATGTATGTATGTTATTTTCTGTGGAACACAAAAGTAGACATTTTTGAACAATCATTACACAGCTTTTGCCATTTAATGGCGATTCACAGTGCTGTCATGCTCCAAAAAGGGCCACAAAAAAAAAACACTATAAAGGAACAATCAAAATTCAAAAATGACACCTGTGCAGTGCTCTATAGAGGGCCGCATGTTACACAAACCAAAGTAATATCAGAAAGCCCACAGTTCTAAATTGTGCAGTCATAAAGCAGACTATTGCATAGTAATGATGGGTGTTAAGGAATGGAAAAAAGATCTTCCTCCTACTCTCATGCATTATGCTATCAGACACAAAGGGCAAGAGCATGTCCAGCATTTTTAAACGAGAACACACAGATGAAAGCCTCATATCCTGCAGTGTGTGGGTGCTTTCCTTCGGACCATTATAGTTTAAAGCACAGGGCTCCACTCCTCCTACAAGGACCTATATTGCCTTAAAATGCAACTACATCCAATTTGGGCAGTTGCTCTGAGTAAGTAACACATTCAATGAGAAATAAATTCTTATTGGCATCGGTGGTTCCGTGAAGAATCTTTAACATCCATGAAAACTTTCCATTGCATAAAACTTTTAATCTAAAGAACACTTTTCCACTATAAACAAACTTTTGTGACAAAAGTTTCTTTATAGTGGAAAAGGGTTCTTTAGATTATTATAATGTTCTTCACACCAAGAAAAAAAAGTGTGTGTGTGTGTGTGTGTATATATATATATATGTATATATATATATACATACACACACGCAGTTATTTAAAGAACTGTTCATTTAAAGGTTCTTTGGGGAACCCAAAATGTTTCTTTTATGGCATCAGTGTGGAAAACCCTCTTTTGGAACCTTTATTTTTAAGAGTATATACATATCCATGACCAATATTTCTGTGGCATAGCCTGTTTCTATAACTTTCTGACAAGCAGAAATTCTGATTACAGAGTCTATACACATTTTACCATATTTATATTATTTTCTGTACAATTATTGACTGCCACACCATTATTGGAGTAGAATTTTTCTCACCAGTCTATTATAATTATATCATCAATTTCAGATCAAATTGTCGATCAAATTCAGATCAAAGTGTGGTTTCTCACTTTACACCATGAAACAGTCTCTTTTTGCTTAAGTAGGTCGTTCCTGGACAGAATAAAACTAAAAAATCTGGACAAAGTCAAAGGTTGCTCCAAAAAAAAAATAAAGTCCACCGCTCTCCGGTGCCAGCAGGGGGCGCACTTTAGCTGTCATGATGAATCTCAGCCAATCTGACATTCTGTATGAGTTTCTATCCTCTCACCCACAACTACACACAGACTGAACTCAAACTCATTGAAATTCATCTGATACCAGAAGCGAATTCTGTCAAACTAAATAATTGATGTTTATGCAGCAGTATCAAAAATGTTCTATTTGGATTTTTCAGCTGAAGGATTAAATTCAATTTAGTTTCGAACTTCAACTTGGAATATCATTATACACTCAATGAATTTGTATGTTTGCAATAACTAACAATTTGTAAGCTGCTTGAATTGCATATACACTATTTTCCCTCCAGGCATTCAGTCCTTAATGAGACAGTTCACCACTTCTGTCATGGTTTACTCATCCTTAATGCTAATTCAATTCAGTATCTCTTTCTTCCATGGAACAAAAATTTAAATTTAAAGAATGTCCATGCTGCTTTAACGAAAGTATATAGTAACCAGGTGCCTTCATGCCTCCCCATAGAACAAAAAAAGTACCATAAAAGCAGTCCATATGACGCCATATCTCGTCTTCATAGCAGAATCAACTATATCAGGAACTTGTCACTGACGTCAGACCACAAGACAAATCTGAATACACAAAAACACGACTGGGATTTGAAAGCTACTGGGAGGGCAGGATTTTCAGAGAACTTCTTAAATTTCGGTCTATTCATATTTGGAACATAGCCTACCATATCAGCATGAACTATTTCCCGCGTGTAGAAGGAACTACTTTTATAGTACTTTTGTTCTCTTGAAATATGATTAAAAATGTGATCATCAACCTCAAAACAGCTTTTGTGTTTAATGGAAGAAAGTCATACAGGTTAGGGAAGAAAGTTATACACGAAGAAAAGTCATATGATATGGAAGAAAGTAATCTTATAATCTTAATGATCCTTTAAAATATGTTCGACACCAGCAGAGTGCGCATATCTTGTTTATGGAGTCTTAAATGTGATATGTTAAATTTTACTTGTGTATTAGCACGGAAGACCAAAGATTAGGCCTACTCTGGATATGGTCAGTTAAAATGTGTGCAGTACTGCGCTAAGCCATTGGTTTGTTTTCCAAAAATGTAAAGGTCATATTAGCGTGTAAAATGCCCTGCTTAAACTTGTTTTAACCCTAGATATACCCAGACTGATAACCGTATTATGGAGATTTTTCTTGCGTCGTGACATGCACGTGATATTTAATCACTTATATCAGCAGCATAATCCCCATGTGCAGAGCAGAAGGGTTCAACATCTGCAGCCAAGGGCCCTCTGAGAAACGAACAGTCCCGACAGGTTATTTATTATACAGCAAAATGATCCGCAGTGAAACCTTTTATAATTATAGACCAGGGCTGGCGAACGTCGGTCCTGGAGAGCCGCAGCCCTGCAGAGTTTTGCTTCAACCCTAATCAAACACACCTGAACAAGCTAATCAAGGTCTGAAGGGTTACTAGAAAGCTACAGGCAGATGAGTTTTAATTAGGGTTGGAGCTGTACTCTGCAGGGCTGCGGCTCTCCAGGACCGGAGTTCGCCACCGCTGTTATAGACACACCCAAATATTCTTTATGGTTTGGTGGTCAGGGTAATTTAAAATTTCCAACAAATCTGACAGCGATTAAGCATGCCACACCTCTAACACTTTTTTGTCAAATTGATGAAGGAATTGAGTGGCAAATAACAGAGTATTATTGACAGTCATGTCACACCACAGCACAAATGAGTGGTTTAAGCAACCCATTTATTTCCATGCTTATCAATCAGCAGCATAGAAATGTGTGATTTTTATATTTCAGGCTTTAGTGATTCGTTCCAAGAGTGACATTAACACCATGATGGTCTGACTCCTTAAAAAGCTAATTATTCTGAATAAAGAGCTAGATTTCAGGGACCATTTGTGACCATCATAGGCCAAAAGTTTCAGAACAAATGCTAATCAAACATAAAAGAAGGAATCATGTCAAATAAAGAATTTAAATGGCACACTAACCCCAGTGACAGAGCAAGTAACGTAGCAATCCCCTTAACATACTGTTACGTGGCATGGATTACCATACAAAGGCTGACACAAATAGACTAAACTGTAACAGACAGATTATCCATCACAATGACAGACAAACCTGGCGGTGTGTAAGCATTCAGTTTGGTTCCTATCCCAGTAAGTCCTACTTCTAGTGACATTAATACTCTCTGTTGCATATGCTGAGCCGTTGGTACTTGTATTTGGCACGTATTACAGAAGACAAGACAAGAGTTTAAGCGATGCATATATTTCTCAAAATTAGTATCTAATAATGATAATACGATGGATTACGTTCAGTTTTCAGCCCTTTCAGAGTTTTAAATGAGAATTAAAAATGGCAAAAATGTACAAGAAACAGAAAATCCCCAAAATCCATCCAAGAACAAGGGAATCATAAATTACATGTTCAAGAAATCACAAAAGGAAACAAATGGAAAGTAAATGTCAATCCTGATTATCCTCTACTCAGATCTATTCTCTTGTATTTGAAGGCCAGATTTGTAAAGACATGTAGTCCCCGCCCACATCATACCCAAGCCCCTCCCCAATCAGGCCCCACCCCTCTCGTGGTTTGCAGAGAGAGTAAAGTGCTGGTAAGCTGATCCAGAGGTGTTCAGGAAATGCACACATGAACCACAGGGAAACGCTATGAAAAAAAACTAAAAGCAGCAAGCCCAACTAAGAGTAAAATATATATACACAAAAGTTTACAACATGCAAAAACAAAATCATCTCAGAATATTACAACTGAAGCAGAATATTACAACATACAAGTAAAATTAAAACAAATCATCTCAGGTTAAATTTGTAACGATTAGACCAATTCATTAACTCAAACATTATGCCACATATAATTATCCTGGAATCTAACGTTACATTCCAAAAGCAAGATTAGATAATTACCTTGAGTCAATCACTGTAAACCTATTTATAAGTATCACATAAAAGTGTAAAAGCAAAAAAAAAAAAAAAAAACTTTTCGCTTAAGTGTATCTGTAACTGCATTTGAACTAGATGGTCTGAGCGGACTTTTTAGCCAGAGTTAGGTTAATTAAATATCCCTTTTCAATGTCAGTTTTATTATTCTGACACAAACAAAATATGCCATTCTTAGCAGGTGATCAAGTATTCAGTACTGAGAGGAGTTCTCAAGCAGTATAGCTTCTTCTCCCACCAGCTTGACTTGTGTAGAAGTAAAAACCACTGTAAACCTGGCAGATCGTTGATGAAATATACTACTGTATCTCTCTATAGTGTCTAACAGAGTCATTTATTAAAACAACACACCACTTTGGAAAGTTGTTAGTGCAGTTTTTCTTGTGTCGAATAGCCATAAAAAACTAAACAAAAGGCGGCTGTGTGACAGTCGCTTCCTCATAATGCTTTCGATTCCCGTTCAAAACATGTAGAATTGACTGTCAAGACCCAACATGTGACTTCTCTAACACAAAGAACCCAATGAGAGAGGGCGGGTGGAATGGATAGCACGTCCTTCGCCTTAGTGATTCCTGTGGGCCGCATGCTAATTTGTATAGAGTTGAAATCATGGCTGGAGAGATACCAGCATAGTTTAGGGCATGTGGACTACAGATGCAGGATGTCACAAAATACTACAGCTGGAATCATGGGAATGTCCAAAAGCTATTTGGACAGAGATATTATAATGATTTGAACTGTACGCAACTGAAACTGTCGACTCAACTAATTTTGACCAGAACTGCAAAAAAATGGTCACTCAATGGTACCTGTGCACCTCTCAACAGAATACGTCATGCGATGTGCCATCAGATAAAGGCCGGTGTCTCAAAGCAAAGAAAGTCATAAATAGTTTCTCATTTCTCGATCCTGAGGATAAATAAGAAGGCACTAAGGCAGTGATGACCTTGTCAGATGAACTTTGCAACAGACTTCCTGCACCACAGCATTATATACATGCATTTACAAGCTTAGTAGCGTCTATCTGATTTGTCATTTGCAATTACTAGACACTGAGCAAAGTGAGAAACAGAAGATCTTCACCCGAACGCAAGCTTTCACGGTTTGTTAGTGGTTAGTTGTTCAAAGCATTAAATGCAGCTCCTCGTTTAAAACTACACCGTTTCACCTGAGGGAGTGTATGCCTAGGAACAGCCTGCAATCACATTACCCAACATTCTCTTCCTCCAGCGGATAGCAGCACCACTCAGTAAAAATACGGTAACAAAAAATGAAGGGGAAAAAAAAGTTGAAAAGAAGATGAAGGAGCACCATTGCCAAGAAATGCATCTACATGAAAGAGGTTAAAAAGGACTATGAGAGTGACTTTAATGTGAAAGTAGAGAGAGCCGACAAGTAGTGTTCATTAATACGCAGGAACAATTCCCATCAAACCTTTTGTTCATATGCACAAGGGCATCTAATTGTTTTGGGAAAGTGTTATTGCCACAGGAACCTTTGCAAACCCTGAATGAAAATTAGACTAAAATAATGGGATATGATCTGCAGATTGTCAATATTCCTAAAAGTGACCCTCAGTCACTGCTGTCATCATCATCGTCGTCGTCCGAGATGTTGTTACTGGAAATCTCCGGACGGCTGTAGGAGTCCGAGTGGGACGGTAGGGTGGCGCCCGAGGAGAGCTGCTTGTAACAGAACTCGCACACGCGCACCGGTTTGGACGACTGACTGGGAAGCAGGAACTTCTTCTCCGAACAGGGGCCACACACAACGAAGCCGCATTTCCGGCAATGGTGGCGCCGGCTGACGGGGGTGAATTTCGTCTTCTGGCACCGCATGCACACGGTCGCCTCAGAGTCAGGCACCCAGACAGCTGCGTGCTCACCGGTGGGAGATTTCCCGCTTTTTTCTAGTAGGTCCGAGACACACTTGCTGATGTGGCTCATCCACTCAGACTTCTCCGTTGCTGTGGCGGCGTAGACGGCGAAGGATTTTGTGGGCGTTTTAATGAGCCAGCCGTTGCGCAGGTCGCCCTCATCCTCTACCGTGTCAATGGTGACGCTCTCCAGAGGGATGATGTGCTGCTTATTGTACTTCTTCTTCTGGATGACGATGTTGCCGTACACAAGAATGTCGTTGAAGAGGAAGAACTGTCGGGCTTTGGGCCTTTTGCGGCACAGCTTTGTGAGAACACCCTCTCCTATGAGCACTCGACCTGGAATAACCAGCGGTTGACCTGCTGTGCCAAAGCATGCTTCCACGACCCCGATGCGCTTAGAGTTGGCCTCACTATTCGCCAAGCGGTCCACCATCTTTCAGATGCCTGGGAAAGACAAAAATAAGAGATTATAATTGGAGCAGGAACAGAAACTGAATATAATGGCTCAGACAATATCAGTACACATAAACAGATAAAACCATACAGACTTAAGGAAGGAACACTTGTGGTTCATCAAATCTTAACCAATTCTTTGTGGCCTTTAAAAAGTTCCCTGAATCTGGTCCATTTTGAATCAACTTGTCTTGAACTTGAATCACTTAATGCTTTTGTTTTATACACACAGAGAAGTCTGGAGGTCATACACCACTGGTGAAAAATGCTTCTATTTCACATTTTTCAATTTTAATTTTAATTAAATTTCAGAGAAAATCATAAGCATATTTTCAAAGTCAGGTTGCCAATGCTTTGAAAGACTATTTCATTAGAAGAATATTTCATTAAAATATAAGTATTATCAATGCATATACCTGATTAACCATTGATATCATTAAACTTACAGCACAATAATGCATCCAACCATTCCCTACTCTTAATTAATATTTTTGTTCTATATTACTGACTGTAAATGTGAACAATTACTCAAAAAACAAAGCAATGTGTCCTTAGTTGACAAACACCTGAAGCAAACATAATGTTGATTTAAAATACCGCTCAAGAAAAATTATTTTTATTTTATTTTATTTGAAGAAATAACACTTTTTTTCAGCAAGGCATAGGCGCGGGAAGTGGGGGTGCTGAGGGTGCTGCAGCACCCCCTGTTTTTTTCTGTGGGCAACTGTTTAACTGTTGGGAATAAAAAAAAAAAATCGGAGTGTCTATTTACACTAAGTGCAAATATCCCGCCTTGTTGGCAGAGGCTATTTACACTAATTCCACCCACCAACGTGTGATTGGGATAGTCAACATTACAAAAGACGGTCATCAATCGTCAGATTCAGTGGCGTAGATGATAAAGCGTGTGTCATAGCCTACTCCTTTTGACTCGATCGACTCGGGGTCGAATTTGCCTTTTGGCAAACTTTTTTTCTCCCTTTTCAAATTTCAAATCACATCAGAAAAGCATTTATTTTTAATAAAAATGAAGGAAATAAAAGTTGAAAATAAAGTATCGGGTAGGGTTAGGGTAGGTGTAGGGAGGGCTCCCAATAAGGTGGCATCCATTTAATAAT